CTGGTAATGGGTGCATATAAGGATTTTTTCCGGTCTGATACAGTCACAACGAGCCTGCGTTCGTAAGTCAAGTTGTGGTGTGATCGGTGTCGCGTTCTTTTATGCACTCGTAATTTTGAGAACAATGTAGCCTTTTTCCATCACCCAAAATCAGTGGTTGAGATCTTGGGTTGTTCTTCGGCTGCTTTGTTTTCACCGAATCGGGTCATAAAGGCGGTCAGATGCATACAATAAAATCTCGGTTTGGGATAGGCGACAACCGCTGCCATTTGCCTCTCGCCCCATAATATAATGTGCGGTCATTATCACCGCCATGTATATAGGGCCTCGCCACACTACTCCCGACCTGGAGAAAAAGTTCGGGAGTACTCCAGAAAGTCCAAAGATGCGAAAACCCATTCGGTAGTGCGCTTTGCCACATTGTACTCCCGACTTGGGGCGCTCTCCTATTTGGAGGCCAGGAGATGGACTTCAGAAAGAGACTGTCCAGCATGTGGTGATGAAAACTATGAGGAGAATGCTTGTCTGCGCATGAGTTCTCCAGTTGAAACACAGGTCTCAGCGAGAGGTCTCCTGAAAATGATCTTTTACAGGCGGGAGGCTCAAGCGATTTCGAGAGTGCTCTTGGGAGCCACATTCTGACAGCTCCTGAATTCAATCTGACAGGTTGAACTCGGCAGCTGGTGTGGCGACGCTACACTCCCAAAAATGGCCAAGTTAGTAGTGTGGAGAGGCCCATAAACCAAATGCTTCCCCAAAAGTACTGTTATAATTCTTGCCATTTAGGGGAAGACAGTAGTAGCTGGAAGCTATGCTCGTGATGCATGTGTGCATGGCGTGTCAGATTTGGTGTGTCCCTGAGTACCTGATGGCTCGGCTGTACTGTTGTGGCATGCGAAATTTATTTATTTATTAATTTATTGTAGAATGCAGATTATGCAGAGTCTCCCCCTCTCTTTTCATCTGTGTTAATCTCCCTAGTTTGGTGAATTCTTCCTCTCCCGTGGTGCTTGATTTTAGTCCATCTCATGGGGCCATATTCAATCCTTGGTCATCATCGGTTAGGGTTTGACTTGGTTTGATGCTCTTTACGTTTAGATTATAATTTTCTTCCAACTACTGTGTTCCCCTTTGGTTTGTGTCTGTGTTAACTAATGTTGTTTAGGGGAAGCTCGTCGTAATTACTGATGAAATACTAAACTTTCTTGCCCTGTTATCAATCTTTTTGCCTTATTGGTATCTCCCCTACTCCTTGTTGTTGTATGTTGGGTTTGGGTTGTGGGATGTTTGCATGATGCTCTTGGTTCTAGTGGTTCTTTGCGTGCTTGCATACTTGAGGATGATTGTTCATTTGCTTTCCAGTCTGATATTGCGTACAAATCGTCCAGTTGCCACAATAGCTTAGTAGGCTCTATAGAAGATTGCATGGATGAGGTCGTGTGTTCCAATTTGCTTATCAGATTCTAGTGGGAGGCAGAACCAAGAGACCTACACACTGCCCATAGATTCAGAAAACGGTTGACGAAAAGAGACTTAGTACAAACTGTGGTCGGTATGGTAGGTTTCTTGGGGTAAAGATTAGTATAGGGGGACCTGTTGCTAGTTGGAGATCTGGGGGGGTCAGCCACTAGGCATGGGAGAGGTTAGGATGAGGGCTCCCCTTAGGACAACTCACCCGTGGAATAGGAAACAGTTGATGAAAAGAGACTTAGTACAATCCATGGTCGGTGTCTGTCTGAACTAGGACCCTACAGACTGCCCATGGTACAAGGAAACAGTTGATGAAAATGAGACATAGTACAGTCTATGGCCGGTACTGGTAGGGTTCCTATGTCGGGGGGGCTCTCCACAGGATTGGTTGGGTTGCCTGCCTATTATGTTCGGGTCACTATCTACAAAAAAGAACAAATACTGATGACAACAGTGTGCACAGCGAATAACCTAACAACAATAACAACAGTTGTGTACACAAAAAGTGATAGGAACGCAAAATAGATCCACCTATGGGATTTGTAGGGAAACGTCTGTACCAAGCACCTGAAGTACCTGGGTGACAAGGCTCGCACAAATATGCTTCGATCAGGGCCGAGTGGGATGTGTGGGACTCGGCTTAGCCCTGGTGCCTACAACCACAATTCAGTCAGGTCACCCCCAAGGTTGGAGGGTGACGATCCTGAGTGGCAGACACTGAGGTAGGATAGCGGGAGTAGGAGTGCACCGGGAGAGATTACGAAAGAGGTAGGTTGGGAGGGAGTCCTATAGGATTAGGGGGGCTCTACCACATGGCCGAGTGCCGAAGGTGACTCTCATATGTTTGTAATCCAACCTCTACAACAACCTGGGTTTATATATATATATATATATATATATATATATATATATATAAAGAAAAAGTTTGAAGTAGGGATAATTGAGGGGTCTCGTAGGGCAGAGCTTGATTCTGCACACAACGGGGTTGATCCTTCCTCACTGGGGAAGCAATCAATGCCCCGTGATTATGCGATATTCGTGTTATACAGGGAAGTTGTCTCCAGGGATCTGGTCCCACTTACAACGTTGATTTTTCTCAACAATCAGCTTTCTATCACGTGGGGCATGGCGGGACGGAGCTCTGCCGTTGATGTATTGAAATCTAATGGTATCGGAATACAGGAGAATAACCTATTAGATTTTGTCATTTTGTAAAATTTTCCTTTGACGTGAAATCCGTTTTGTAATATGCTTTGACCCTTTTGGTTTGGGCGGGAAACTATTTTCTATTGAGAAAACTACCCTT